GCGACTCCCCGCCGAGCCAAAGTTTGAGGCTTTCAGCGAAAACTCAAATTCCAACTCCAACTCCAACTCGAGGCGATTTGCTGCGTGGATATGCGTATGGCGGTAGAAATGGAACGCAATGCTACACATCATGATCGACTGTCGGCCGGCGTTTCATTCATGATTTTCACAACCGCGTCCGCAATACTGCGTTGATGTCGGATTTGATATCTCGAAATGCGTGTTTGACTGGGGCTCCCCACGCGGCACTTCCCTTGCCCTGATCGGCAAACTGCACGCCCGGCTCGTGCAGAGGGTTTTCAACGAGTTTTAGAGGCTTGGTTACAATGCAAATGGATAACCTCTTCTTTTACCAAAGTCGCTTTCCTTCTTTCGTCGACGCCCGTGCCTTTTTTCTTCTAGCGCCTTGGCTAAGCTTGGAATTGTCGTCTCTGCACGCGCATTCGCCAAGACACAATGTACCGATTGATCCACCCTATCCACCTCCAAGCCAAGCACCAATAGCAATCTGAGTTTCGTCTGCACGCCAACCCTTATTGACGGTTTTTTGGTGTTTCCAACCTCGTAAGAGCTCGTACAGACACCGCGTGCAGACACCGCGTGCAGACGACGATACTTCCTCTCCGCCCCACCCGACTCCACACCTCTTAAGTATTCTTTTACGTCTGCACTCGCCGGGCGTGCAGTTTGCCGATCAGGGCCTTATTGTCACACCTCCTTTTTTGTACTGTCTCTTGCTTTGGCTGTACGTACTGTGGTAGAAAGGAATTTGTCCAATCGCTCACCATCACTGCGGTGCCAAGATACACAGCAGATGTCATTGTCACCTCTTGGTATCGGTATCATGATTTGACCTCAAAATGTGGTGGTATTCAGTGCAGATCATCGAGGACCGCAATTCATCGCCTATGGGCCCGTTTGGTTCATCCAGCTGTTTTTTAAACGTGCTGATTTGGGGTACAAAGCGGAAAATGCAGCTAGAAAGCCACTGCTTTGTACCAGGCAAAGACGTGGGCTAAAAGACGCGTTGTTGTGACTGGGGTTGTGATTCGTAGTTGGTCAAGGGCATGAAGATAGAAAACAGCAGAATTGGCCAAAATGGGCCCACTAATTCCCTTCTTGGGCCTTCCGAACCGCCTGCCTTAGCGCGATACTTCTTGACGCAGCCAAGCTGGGTTAAACGGGCAAACTGAACCCCAACTTCCTGCATGAATCAACTTGCTGATTTGCAGGGGTCGATTTCACATACAAAAGAAAAAACAGCTGGATGAACCAAACGGGCCCTATGTCTGGAGACAAATTGATGATGTTATCAAGGAGGCCAGTGACTGGACATATCACGACCGAGTGTTAGACGCCAGGGCCAAGATTGGATACCCGACAGAATAAACCAAGATACGGATATGATACGCATCCAGGGCTTCATACACAGCCCCGGAACAGCCGCATTCCCAATCCCATGGTTTGGCCCTTCTCCAGCTTGTAGCTGAGGTCTGTCTGCACTGTAGTGGTGTTGGGGGTAGGTGACGAGATCTAGCCCGCGTTCTGGGAAATCATCCGGTCAAACTCCGCGCCTCGCTCCGGATGTCCTCGTTGAAGTGTGGTTAGGGCAAAGCAGTCCCTTGTACACAAGCTCTGTAAGCGAGGTTGCCCAATGACTGGGGAATTTGCCTTACTATCAGTTTGTATTTCCAACGGCCACTATTCACAATAGTGCACATTAGTCCCAATCCTTTTTCATAGTGACTGCACGTGGAAATGGAGAAATGTACTCACAAACGTTGTGTATGCATGGGCATGGTGTCTCGAAGTTGTGTGTATCTCGAGCGTACATAGTATACATAGTATCACTTTCAGTATAGGGCAGGATTCGCCTAGGTGGACGTACTCAACCGACCCCATTGGGTAATTTAGAGATGCCGATCACCCTGGTATCAAGCGAACCCAAGCGCCGATCCCTACTTGACGCCAGTGAGGCTGCAATTTGCGAATCCCCGCCTTGGTCTGTTTTCGAGAAAGCCTTGATTCAACCGTCTTGAAAAGACCTCGGGGATCTAGTGTCAACGTTCGTTAGCCAGGCTGAAAAGCTCGCTGACAAAACAGAGGGTATGGTCATCGCCTTGTAGATCTAGCAAGATGACGAAACGCGGACTTTCCAACAGCCGTCATAGTCAAGAAAATCAGGGTACCTGACCTTTCAAGCTCGATGCTGCCGGGTGTGAAGACAGGGGGACACAGTCGCCAGGGGCTGAGGTTGTGCTGCAGCCTTCCCTTCCTCCCTCCGCCTTATAAGACTGATGCGAAAATGACAGGGACCTCTGACCGTATCTGGTCAACCGAGGCGAACCGGCAGCTGGCGCGACTGAGGTGAAGGTCGAAGAGGTGCCCGAGGTGCCCTCTGGTGCAGGCCATCACAGCGGGATGGGTTCCGGATACTTCCCAAGCGTCTCCATCACGATATCTTAAATTATAAGGTAGCACCTGGGGTGCGGTTCAGGCGGTGCAGGCGCCTGAGCCTCGATAAAGGTCGGCTATCTTGGTCGCTTAGCCCGGCAAATCTGCGCGTTTCAGTGACAAATTGAATTCGTGAAGTCCCGTATGTCGAGGCTGCGCTTTTCATCCTGTCCCAATCCGAGGCCCGGGGAGTGCTGTGATGGCAAAAGAGTCGGAAGTCCAAGGCAAGAGCAGGAGTCGATGGTTGATAGATCTAAACTCGACGCTCTTGCCGCCGGCTGATACTGACCCGGACCTAAGTACTGTACCTGCAACAGGTGAGCTACTCGAGCAAGCAAATAGAAGAAAATCTCGACAAAGCTCGGAGACTGTTCGTGCCTGCCTCTTTCGTCATTCACATTGGCCTACTGGGCGAGAATTGGAAGTTGCATTCATCTCATGACCATCTAATATGGCGTTGAAGTGGCAGTTGCCCGCGCGTACGCTACCCGTAGAGGTACCTGAAAAAACGGATACCCCGTCATGCCCCACTTATAGATTTCCGAGTGCGTGCATGTTGCACTGTGCCGGCTTTTGAACTTGGCAAAGCTGCTGGCAGCTGTCGTTAACCTCATGCCTGACCGCCGGGACCACTGGCGCAAGTTAATTTATTGAATTCAGTGCGCGTGGGGGTACAAATATCGCGAGAATGACCCCGCCGCAATCTAGCAACGGGTGAGCCTCCGGGCTTCAGCTGCGCTTGGCATGCCGTTCCGGAAGGCATCCGGGGATCCACAGTCCACCACTCCACTCGATGCGGACGAGAAGGAACGACTTCGATTCGTAGTTCGCATTTCGGAAGGACTGGGCCATGCAACTCCTGGCAGGTATCGATTATGCAGAAGACAAAAACTCAGTCATGTACCTTCTCGCAAGCACTTCCTTCTCGGAGACTTTTTTTGCGAATTAACCCACTTTGCAATCTTTCCACTCCGACTTCCATTCTCAACCTGGAAGTCTCGACCCTTCCATTGGAAACTGGATTCTGGTGAAATCACGATTATGACATCCATGAGAGTTTTTACGATGGGAATTTTCAGAGATTGTCAACCTCGGATGTTGATTACCACTCCTCTCTTGGCGTTCAACTTCACAAACCCTTGATCCAAGCTTCAGAATATCAGACAAGAGTCAACACAGCAGCAAACACGGTGCTTCAAGTTCGTCAAAGCCAAGCGTGCAAACAATCATCCCAACAGCACTGCAGCAGTCTGTCATACTTCTTATCATCACTGTCGCACCGCTTCCTTATCAGGCTCTACCAGGCTCTACAAATTGGACTACTTAACAGGCCTCCACGGCGCAACATCTTACCGCTACCTCAACTGCCTATCTGCTAGTAAGAGCATGGGTATCATAGTATTCCCAGAGTTTCCACCGCACTTCTCACTCGACGTCACAGGCTCACGACATACAATCACATATCAAGTCTAGGCCCGGCTCAAAGGAGACATGGATCGCTTCAGCCTTCCGTTTCAGGATGGAATTTAGGAGGATGACTTGTCAGTTCTCACACACAGCGCTGTGAGTGTCGGTGTCAGTTATCCCGTTGCTGTCAACATGTCAGTGTCACTGTCAGTGTCAGCGTCCCGCGGTGTCTCAACAACGGCGCCCTGCCCGCGCGGGCTGCTGGTAACACGGCACTACCGTTCGGTACCGCTGTCTGAGGAGAAACCGATCCTGCAGTCTCGCACACAGATCTGGATGGACTGGAACATCCCATCCCTTAAGGGTGATACCCTCGTCGAGATGCTCTCCCAGCTCTTGTCTTCTGCATAATCGATACCCTGAGGTATTGCAACGCCTCGTTCGAAAAAGGTAAAAGCACCCGACGGGAAATCATACAGCCTCTTCTCGCTCTCGTTCTCGCTCCTAGGGCTGGGCTGTACATCCAAACTTAACGCCTATCAACCCTACGCCCTCCGGTTAACTGTCAAGGCTGTTCGAAATGCAGTACTGGGATAACAGGGCGTCCTATCCCCAGCCTACGATCTTGCTACTGTGTACACAGTCCCCGGCCTTTTGGCTCCGCCAGTGCCCAATGTCCCCAGACTTAAAATGCAGCTTGATCCTGGTTGTATCTCTGGTCCTCAGGCTATTTACTCTCAACGCAGCATAGCGCCATCTGGTCATCCGGGTACGTAGCACGTACGTGGTCGCCCCCAACCTATAGAACCTCAAGCCTGCAGCGATAGGTCGTGCATGGCGCCCCGGCCTTTTCCATCGATCCGCTGCAGTGGTTCACCCGTGCCCTGCCATCGCCGGCTATTTCCCAGCAAATCGCAACTCTTGCCTTTTCACGCTTGTTTGCTTCCGTTGGTACGGTGACGGACGCCCGACCAACTGGCCCCCAACCGGCACCTGGCAGGCTGGAGCACTCTGAGGCCACGGTAGACGCCGGCCCGGCGCCTGACAATTAACCTTGCGGACCGGTGGCCTTCCAACGGCACATCAAGGCACGACGACATGTACGACGATACAATGGCTCGAAAATTCAAGGTTGAGGTTTGGCCAAACCTCCCTCATGACCTCATATGGAACCTCAACTGCTGCTGTCCAGATGAGGACAATAATAAACATCTTTCCCTGGCTAGGTCTACCGCCATTTCTATTTCAACTCATCCACCAATTACGTATTGCGGACGTTAGTACTGCTACAGTTATCAAAACTATTGTTGTCAATCGCTGCCCAAACGGCCGGAAGCTGCTTGTTCCGTGTCTGGGGAGCAACGCCTTCATTTGAGTCGGACGAACTTCTTCCCTAGCGTATCGGTCCGTGACTGGAGCCAAGAGCATCACCCGTACCACCACCGGGGAAGCAAATTGATCACCCCCTGGCTTGGCAAACTTGCAAAAACTGTAACTTCGTCCCCTAGCAGCGAGCAGACGGCCTCCATGAGCCCCTTCAGACCCCCTTTCCTACAAACAATACCTCGTCAATCACGAGACCACAAGCCAAGTTACAGAGTGGTCAATACCCCGGACCAACCCTTCAAGCCCACTACCCATTTCAAGCATAGGCTGCTTCTCGCTTCTTGCTTCCGACCCTTGTCGTCATTCAAGCCCTGTCGATTCTCGATCTGGTTGATGGGCGATCCCGCCTTTCCCAGCTTGGGGTTAATCCGCTCCCACTTCACAGGCAACCAAAAGAAACAACAAGAAAAGACACGGAGGAACGTCCGGTTCGTGATGATTCATTGTAGTCACTCAGGGCTATGCTCCGGTGCCCTGTCCCAGCTTGCAATCATTCAGACGTGGCCAGGTTATCTTATTATCTTTCCAGGCAGTCTACATCAGTCTTGTTGCGTCCTACACAGTAACAAAGACTGTTATCAAAAGAACCATGAAGTCGGTACAGATGACACGGAGAATCACGCCTACTTTGAGCCCTCTGTTTTATTACAACGAAAGATAGGCACCGAGTCATCATCACTACCCTTTCGTGGCCTCCGAAGGGTCCTTCCGGCCCGGTTACACAGCGCATCCGGCACGGGACGGCGCATCGAAGGGACCACGATTCACCAGGGCACCGGATCTCCGTCCACACAATACCGCTAGGCCAAAATGCAATTGGGTTTGCTGGACGAACCCGGCATCCTACACTGCTGATTCACAGTAACTGCCTCCATCGTTTGATTTTCAACTGGGGTTTTGTCAATATATGAGCGATGCCCAGAACTTTCTATCGCAGACAGTGATAGCTGGGCTTCCTGTCCGAGCTCTCTGGAGGCTGGTCACACAACACGACGTGTAAGGGTATGAGCTTACACAATTACCCCATCTCCCCATGTAGAGGGGTTGTGCTGGTACCTATGATATGAAGCAGCAATCACGGACTTGGGAGCACCCGCTGCAAAACCCATTGAACGGCCGTGTGGCAGACCAACGTCTCCATTCAACATGCCATTCAGAGCCTTTGAAGCCGTTTCCACCTCCCGCATCTTGGCTGACGGGGAAGATCGTCCACCTTTCTTATTCTCAACACAGGCCAGTGGACTAGACAACTCTGAAAGCAACGGCCGGTAGCACACGCTCCACTAAGGAACCAGAAGTCTAATTGTCGATCTGGGGTCTAGAAAACGTTGATGACGTGAGAGTCATTGGCATGTGGATTCTACACGTGCGTTTCCTGGCTGAGGTCGTTTTGTGCAGTGTCAGTCCTCATTCACGTACAGAGACGCACCGTTTGCTACAGGACGACCAGCTCACCAGCAAAGCTTGCCAAGTTCAGTACCGCATCCGTTTAAACACTGTCTTGTCGGTTTCAAGCGGCCTTTGTGTTGACTACTCTAACGGGAGAGGTGGTGATTGCTTTTAAGCCGACCGAGTACGAAGCAGTCTTGCTAAGCATTGCCTGTTCCCCACTAGTTCAACTGGTCACTGATAGCTGTCAGTCGTCTCACAATATTCAACATAATCCTTCACATTTGACAGATGAGCTGATGGGATCGCTTCTCTGTAGCAAATCACATCAGTCACTCAGATCGGGAATCGTCGATGGGGAGAGCCATCCTCCTGATCTGGAGATCGAGACCGATCTACCTACTGCCGCGCATATCAGTTATCATTTCCCGGCCAGGATTTACTATCCTCTCCCGGCAGCCCGGATGTTTGCGAAGGTTCGTTGCAACAATTCATGCAAAGTGTTGAATTATCGGCCGGCCTAGCATCGTCAGAAGGGAATAGTCAAACTCTCCTTTCCGGATCCATGCATAAAACTAATGTTACAGTATCTCTAAATCACATAGTCGCCAAAAATGCCCGTTTCTGTCACTATTTGCCCAGCTTCCTGGAAGATTTATCAACCTTTCACTCCCATGATTTGTCCGTATACGTGCACCTCCCCCACGAGAAAGGTGGCTTGCTTGGGCAGGATCCTACGCTCCATTGCATCAAATCGCATCACATCGGGCCAAGCCAGACTAGCTTCAGCGCTAACTGAGAGTGCAGCAGATCATTGTATGTACTGACAAGCTGCTCCCAGTTCTGAATGGATTTCCCCAAGGGCATGGGACGGGGACATCACGAGACAAGGGACGACGGGAGAGGGCCGCTCCATGATCGCGGAGCCGGAAATGCGTGCCTATACTCGGCAATTTCTACTGGTGGACGGTGTGAGTGTGGATCGAATATCATGACAGCACCAATGGTGTTATTACAAGCTGGGCATGGCATTACGTACGGAGTGCATGTCGCCCTCGGTTTTCGCAATCAACCTCAGCTCCTTTGGTGCAGGAACCAACTAGTTCGAGAGCTCCAATGACGCCGATGTAGGTCGGAATGGTGACGAACTGGGCAAGACCCGGAGCGAAGCCAAAATTGTGAGCGAGGAAGGGGTTGAGGCTCTCTCCTTCACGGCGCCTAGTGCGGCCTTCAAAGCGTTTCGTATCGCAACCAACCGGCGGAAGGATCACAATCGCTCTACGATAACGACTTTGATTCCAACAGACTAACCTGACTATTGACTATGTCGACATATCGTTCCGAATCACACGTCGGCAGGCCGCAATGACGAGGCCGTCGGATCTTGGTTGGGGGACGTCTGCAAGATCCAATTGTGACGGGAATTCCGCATCCACGACAATTGTACAAATCGCAACTCTGTGTCTGGATATTCGGAAGAATTACCAGCGGAATACGAGCAAGCTGAGCGAGTTCAACAAAACCATCAGGCATCTGACCCAAAAGGAGGATATTCACAGTCAATCCCCCCAGCCATTAATGCCATGCAAAATGGCGGCAACGAAAATCACGAATGGTAGCGACCGGTTGGTTACATGGCATCATTGACAGCGGTTTACACCCTCGCCTGCATAAGTGCTGTTACCCAAAAATTTTTCTCCATTCATGAGGCCTGATCACGAATCTGGCAAGCTGCCTTATGTGGGGGTAAGAAAGGAGGCACGGGTACTGTTGTATGACTGCGCCTTGCAGCCTCCGTCACGTCAAGTTATCCATCTGTACGCACCCGTCTCTATTGTCCTGTTTTGGGAAGAGAGCGGCTATAGAGATCGATTTGGCTTGGTGCTCGCTCACATGAGAGATCACATTACTTGCACGGTAGTGCGGTGCGCTGTTGTACACGGATGACAAGTTGGACACGACAGCTCGTTACACTACCTTCGAGCGTTCCAAGATGATGTTGAAAGACGAACGCAAAGAGTCTTGCATGCATCTATCTCAACAAAAGATACGGCATTGTATATGGGACGCCGCCACTGTCAATGGATGGTTGGGGCTGAGCAGCTCTGTACCTGCATTTCGACGCCAATGGCCTTCCTACCAGCCTCGCGTGACCTTTGAAGGCTGGTTGGCTGGGTCTATAATCTCTCTTCCTGTGGGTGCAGTTTTCCATCTCGCCGCCGTAACCGCGAGAACAAAACTCTAGCCGACCTAGCTGAAAATCTGGGCCTGGACCGGTGCCGACTTTGTCGGTCATTCTCGTGTTGATAGCGATATTGTCACTCGCCATTATCTCTACGGTAGTGACGGAAGTCACATCAACCAGTAGCAAATGAGAAACTGAAAAGGGTTCACATATTTTGCGTCTTCAAAATCAGTTTCCAGCCTCTCAAATCGTCTGCTTCGGATAGGCAGCAAGAAGGAGACCCTCTTCCTAGCGCGGATTCGTTGCTCGTCGGTTGTGGGACTGGACCCCTTTCTTGCGACCTATTGCCTCAATTGAACGACGGGCGCGCGGCTGACCAGCCACTGATTGATCTGTAACTCAAAAAGGGGCCTGGCATCCGGAAATCGTATCGATCTATCAAGATAATATGCGAAGTGGGGGAAGATCTGTGTGATAATTTGGAGGCCAAGACTCCAGTTAATGCGCGCGGTCAGTCTCCCAAACGGATAGTTGCAGGTTTACTGTTAGCTGGGGCGATCTTGGGATGGAAGATGACGGCAAAGGTCAGGAATAATCTAAAGAAGAAGTCATCAGTGGTTGACATGAAGAAGAGCTCAGGAAAGACAGAGTGACCGTCATTTCATGCTCATTTCACAATCATCCTCCTCCCCAGTCCCAATTCATCAACCATCACCAAGTTTCACCGGAGGAAACAACAGACGGAAAGTGACCGATATGAACCTGTCAGGAAAACGTCGATGATTCTTCGAGTGAGGCTTTATCGTTGAAACAAGATTTCCTATCCTTCTGTCTCTCCACCTCCCGACATTAGCGGGCTTGTCCACATACTTCTTGTTTCTTTTTCCCTCTTCGTTTCTTTTCCCATATCCATCAGATCCATACAATACAATACCCACAACCACGACAAATTCCCACTCCCATAATACTACAATCTGGATCTAGAAGTAAGTCGTATCGCCAGTGGCGATACCCGTCCGTCCTCGTCCCGTGCCGCTGTTCATCTCATCCCATCCGACCATCCACTCTGCGTCCGCTCCGCTCGGCTTGGCGACAACCCTCCTAAACCCTAGTCCCGCTGAAATGTTCCGAATCCCCTCTCTTTCACGCGGCCAAATATTCCCCAAAATAGGAAGTGGATGACCGAAAGCCAAGTGGCGACCGGCCAATGTGGGAGATAAGATGAAAGAAGCAACAAAAGACAGGAAACGGACAGGGACAGTGGTCACGCTTGACCGGGTATTCGGATGACGAGATCTGGCTATTTTCGGGAACGTCGAAGCCACCATTCCCAGATTGGCGTCTCATTCGCTTGCGTAGGATCTTTCATTCACAATATCCTGTCCTGAAAGGGATGTGGTTGAACGACCTTTGACTGCTTTGGGCAACTTGTCTTTTGCGTCCATTTCCCGCTTGCCCCAGGAGGCGTGATACTAATGCATAAAATTGGTGATGAATGACAGTATCTCGGGAATAGGAAAGTCGGATCCAGCACGAATCAGTAACCTTTTCGCCTGTTTTCCCAGTCCAGCTGCTGTGACATCGCCTCGGGATGGCATGGGATTCGAGGGCTAGGACGAGAACCTGACTGGGAGTTGGTAGCAGGACGTACGTAGGTGAGTTTCCTAGGCGACTCGAATTAGCAGGTGGGCTTCACTGACGCAAGAGACATACTGTGAGATCACGAACAACAACGAGAGCAAGCGTGTGTATACGATTGATTGAGTGTGCTATCGAGGAGAGAGGAGGAGAAAGATTAGCGAGAAGTTTGGAGGGTTAGAAAAGGTGGTGGCTAAGGTACGGTGGGTACGGCATAGAGTGCCTGCCGCGTACGGGACCTACCAATACACCCCTATAGACCGAAAGACCGCTATTTACGAAAAAATCTTGGTCCCTCTTATTTATTTACTATTTATATGATGATATTTCTTCTTAGTATTGATTAAGCCCAAGGTACTTTTTTTTGTACTACACTAACTAATTTTATGAACTTTGCATGATTATTTAGTTTGAGTAGCTTCGTAAGGTTATTAACTGGCATTTCCTTACCCGGTAAATGTTCAATGGTGAATACCTTCCTATTTACTTCTTGAATTAATTATTTGTATCGAATGTCGATATATCTATTCCTAGCGGGCATATTGGAGTTTAAGACCCAGTCCTTAGCATTAGAGCTATTTATATATAGAATTTTATTGACCTTATCAAAGCTTAAATTCATATTCAAATTATTAAGTATGCCGCTAACCTAATTTAAGGCTTTCATAGTAGGCATTAGATTAGTGAATTCTACTTCCATCGTACGTATAGTAATAAGATTCTATTTTTTCGACTTCTAGAGGATAGGGCCGTATATAAAGAATATAATATAATTAACTATACTCTTCTTAGATGGAATATTATTTATAAAGGAAGTATTTATATAAGTATAGAATAAAGGGGCTATTATCGGCGAAAATGTATTT